AAATGTAAACCAATTTTTATAAATTTTTAAAAATTTAAATGCTAGATTACTTAAACTTCAGCAGAACTTGAAACTAGATAATAAATAAAATAATATTTAATAATTATTAAATGAAAAATCATTAATTTATGAATATGTTTATACGCTTATAAAAAAAACGAGTTAAATAGCAATTTGTTCGCTTCTTCTCTACCTTTATTCTGTTCAAAAGATAACTGAAACTTTTGTTGAATCCTTTAAAATATATATATATATATATCTGGAACATTAATTCCCAAAATGAATTTAACTCAAAATAGTAATAAAACTGGGTCTTGATTCCTTTTATATAAAAGTGGTCCATTTGGAAACGATTTAATCTTTTTTTGATTATGTTATATGCAAGAAAAGATTCATCTCAAAACTGTGAATATTATAGCATCGAGTGCTGCAAGAACAAAAAGTTTCGGTTAGAAGGTTCGGTGAAAAACGATATAAAAAGAATCGTTTTTCTTTCTCATACGATTGAATGTGAGCTTGTTATAACGTTCATTTGAATATTGCATACGTGATACATTCAATTTTTTACTTCAATATATATATAGTATGTATAAAAATATAAAAAAAGCACACACTAAAGATATATTTTATTATTACACCTTGTATATTTTTAAATATATTCGAGAAAATTTAGTAGGTTTTTAATCGATCAATTAATTATGTAAAATATGTTACAAAATTGCTATCCTTATATATTTACTGCAACATACGTTCACAATTGCAATAGTTTAAATGTCATTGCGACGAGATTTTTGCACCTCTTTCAATATATACTACGATTGGATAATCGTCGGAAATTGTGGGCGAGAATAATCGACGCCTATTAAAGGCCTTTTTGTGCGTCAATTCCAGCAAATCAATTGAGATCTCCCCATCATTATACACAACTCTCCAACTTAACATCACTTCTGGTACCTATGATGCGACGCAATAATTTTGTTATAACTTTAAGCACCTCTTATTTATGTTCACATTTATCATAGATCATTATATGCAATTGTTTGAACATCAATTTTCTCAATAACATGTGTAGTGAAAATTATTTTGCGCCACGCATATTTCAATAATTATCGATCAATTTTTTAACGTAAAAGACGTAATTCATTACGTGCTTATAATAGAAAGAGAATAATTAACTTCGTCATAAAACAAATATAAAAGAAAAAAGAATTATCTCTTTTTTATCTAATTACGTCAAGGCATCATATACTATATAAATGTCATTAAGCTCAACTTTACAAAAAATATCTTTAGCAAGACCAATATGTCTATGATTTGTATTGTACAATATTGCGAAAAAAAAGAAGTCTGTATTTCTTTAAAGATGATATATTCAAATCGAATATATTTCTATTCTATATTAATAAACATAATTAAATTAATAACAATAAGTTTGATAATAATAATAATTGCAATATGCTAAGAAAAAATGTATCACAATATAATTAAGAAAGATTTATTTTGTAACAAATATGTGTATAACATAATTTATTCAGTCATTAATATTCAATTATTTGTAATACGAAGCTTTCGAATTTAAAAAGAAGATATCTCATAATGTAATGTTTTCTAATAGTTTTGATCCGAAAAAATGCATGATCTTTAAATATTTATAATGTAACAATAAATAGAAAAGAAAGATAACATTCTTCTATTCACTTGGATGACGGATTAGAAATTTCCTGAAACAATCAGTTTTTATTTTAGTTTTATTTATTTATTTAGATAGTTGAAATTTTTCAATGTACCTATTTTCGCTTTAAAATAGAAACCTAGCAAATTAGCTTTGTTGATCATCAACATATTCATTGTGTCTTTAAAATTAAATTGCTTTAATCTTCCTTCAATTTTCATAAGTGGCTTATACAGTTATCTCGACGAAAATTGTTTTTCCAGTCACGAAGTAATCCGGATAGGGACTGATGCGACCCTGACAAGCGTGTCCACTAGTACGCATTACTCGCACGCGCGCGCACGCTTAATATAGTAAGTGTACACGCGGTTTAAATGTCACACCGAGGAACGTAAGCAATGCTGTGCGAGGACACGATGACGCCTCGTTAAGTTATATACATGTGCGATGTGCCGAAGTACGCTTTTGTGGACGATGTCTGTGAGCGTGTCTTGTGAGTTTCCTTCTTGTGATGTGACCCTGCCCTCTTTAACGACGTAGCGGACTAATTAACGGGGTTGACGAGCGGAGATCCAATGATCCGGAGACTAGAGCTCGATACACCATCCGATAAATAAAAATACAAAGGGTACTCCGATGACGAAGTGACCAGCTTTTTCCATAAGATAGCCGTAAAAGTGATTTCCAGTCGAAACGAGAATAATCGCATGCCTCGATGTGCTGAAAAGGCGAATTACACGATTCCTGCGGGTTCAAGATAGCAATTTGAATCCCGAGAGATACCGTAACCTACTTTCCGCGATGTTTTCAAAGACTGCCCGATGTTATAAGAGTAGATTGCTGGAAGAAATCTCCTTGAAAAGAACTCGTTTATATCGCTGATAAGTTTAAAATGCGGAGAAATACGACAGCGATAAAAAAGAATCACCATGACAAAGAGAGAGAGAGATGAATATTACTTTGTTTTCTTGTAAATCTTGTGAGAGATATCGAATTTGTAAGGGTCAAAAGTTTACTTGATTAGTGCTTTAGTTCGATTATTATTATTGGTATTACGCGCTTTAATTTCCTCCGACGAGAAATTCTCTCACGTTCATTATATGACAATTATACAGCGACGACACAATCACTATCCTTGTTCTCCGTTTAAAAATTAAACAATAATGAGAATGAGAATGACAAAATTATCAAGAAGATATTCATGCAAGAAATTATTAAATAATTAACAAATGACGAGAGTTCAAAGAGCGCACGAATCGCGAAGTTGAATGTGCTAGAAGAATAGACATTGTTTGTGAAGTTAATGATATAGTATTTCATGTATGACTACTTAATAATAAAACGTGATTAATTATTAGTAAAGTATGTTTCTATAATTTACTTAATGTTACTCTACTTTTAATACATATTCATATGTGAACAAAGAATCAGCTGATGTTAATCACATTCTTGTTATACTTATATAAATTTTTAATTATAATATTTGAAGATTGAAAATAATTTTTTCGCTATTGCGAAGAGAGAAATGACTACTGCCACTGTGATTGTTAGGAATCGAACTTGTTAGACAAAATACTTTTCTGAATGCTTACGCCATTGGCCAAGCAGGGGGGATATCGTCATATCCCGGACGAAGACAGGAAACCTCCAAGTAAAATCCCCCTCCGGTTGTACGCATATGTACGTCAACGAGCATCGGCGTACATTTGATTGTAAATGAAAGCAGGAAAGAAGCGACGAGGCGAAAGTAGAGTGATGAAGTAGCAAAAATAGCGCGATCAGCGCGTGAGCGAATGTTTCTCATCAATTACAAAAAGAGCGATCTGCATCGAAAATCAATAAAATTTCGAGACGTTTAAAAATAGAAATATTCCTTCGAATTATATGAATTAAAAATTATTATTTTTAAGTAACAAAAAAATATTTTTGTTTAATAGAGAGAAAAATACACTATTATGATCTAGATTATAGATGTGTATCACACTCACGAATACACCCGCTGTCATTTTAGTACCAACCTGAAATCACATAAACGTCTTAAGCACGAAAGCAATAAATTACGAGCATGCTAGATTTAACCCAGAAAATCGAAAATTGCAGCACGAGGTAGTTCCCTAATTGGAGCAAATAACTCGCATGGCATTATAAAATGTTAAAGTCTGAGTGCACGCACGGTCGCTGCGGTCTAATTTCACGTGCATGTGCACCAAACACATTTGAGATTCCCGAGGCACGAGTATCCGTTTCAGTACCCTTAACATTTAGCATATGACGTAACGCTATGATAGCCTTTATCGTACAAATGTATCAAGAGAGATAAAATATCTCATTTATTTTACATCTTTGGCACAATATTATTGAACGGTATTATTTTTATTGCTCAAAAAGCATGAAAAATAAAATCCCAACTATTTTATTCAAATTGGCAATTTTAATCTAAATATTAGAATATATTGACTAAATTCGATCATTATGAAAACTTTTTCTCAATTAAAAAAAATATTTTTTAAATATTCATTACGTACAAAAAAAATTAATTTTTGCGGAGTTTGCTAAGAATAATTTTTCTAAAACTTTACAGATTTTGCGCCTTTTTTGATATGATAAATTATCACATCATCTCTTTTAATGATTTTATTTATTTAAACTTTGTTTAAATAAAATCAGCGACTCATCAAGTTCATATATCGAAAATCTATTCTCAATTTCTCTAATTTTCGCATTCACGCAGTTCACGAGTTTGATAGATATAAATCATCGAACAAACGTTTAAAAGCGTTTTCCAATATTCCGTTATGACATTCGTCGGAATCAACAAGTTTGTCGACTATTACGCGTCAGCGCATTAATCTCGTTGATTTTTTAGTTTACTATTTTTTTTCATTCGTTCACCAACAATTACACATCGCATATACCTCGATATTATATTTTTCATATTAATTATATATTATGTCTTCCGTTGAAATTGTTAAAATAATGAAACATATCATATTAAACTTAAAATATATATTTATTTTCTATTTTTTATCTAAGAAAGAGAGAAGAGAAACATTTGTAATTGTTTATTTACAATTAAAATACATATTTAAGTTTTTATTACGAATGTCTTTCCCACTTTATTATAAATTATCATATTTTTTTATAAAAAATAATTTAGAAGAATTTAGAAAGGAATTTAAAGAAATTAGAGTTGTGAGTTATACATTTGTCACATTTGTAAATTCTTCTAGATTTTTATTATATATATATATATATATATATATATATATATATATATATATCTTTAGATTTAATATAATTGTAAATAAATAAATTTTCTTTATTTTAGATTGATTTCACACACATCTAACAAATTCAATTACTGCGGAAAATTAGAGAGCTTGATAATTTGGAGAATCGATTTTCGCCAAGTATACATATGATGAGGAATCTTCGATAATATCACCCGATCGATGAAACACGCTATCAGCAACTGATGAATCTGCGCTTATGCTTTCCCTTTTGCGTTCCTGACGGACGATCGAGTGACCTACTTGTTAATTGTCGACAGGCGGGTCTACGCTCTAATTAACGGTAAAACCGATATAGTATTAAGTAATTTACTATCGACTTTTCGATCAATAATATATATAAAGTAAAAAAAACCCACTGGTAATTGATAAAATGTTCCAATACCCGCCATTCGATGCTCTTTGCGGAATTGAAAAAATTTTATGAAGAAGGAAATAAAGTTTTTTATCCTCAGACAAAGTTTTATTTTCCATATTTAATGTTTTAATCAAACGAAATTTTTAATCAACGAATGTTTTAATCAACAAAATAAATTAAACTGAAATAATAATAAGATTTATACAAGAACGAAACAAGAGAGATGTATTTTGAATAGAAAATATGACATCCGTCATTACATGATAATTACATTTACGGCTGACGAACTATTGACAATTATGCGTCAAATGTAATTCCAAGTTCAAACCCAAGCACAGGAAGCAAATTAACAGGAAAATCGCCCATTTATGCGATATCACTGTTGATATTAATCATTTTAACAGATGAAATCATCGCATCCTAAAAAATCGATCTCGCTCAAATTATTTCGAGAATTTTGTGTTTTTTTTTCATCACATGAAAAACTCTTCTGAAAGAGTGATGATTACATTTCCATTTGGAATGAAAAGCCTTTTGTTTTCGTGCATAAATTTTCACGCTATCGGCTATTGTAAACGTTATTATTAAAAAAAATAATGCTGACATTCGTGTATCAATGATAATATATTAATTATATGAGAGTCATATAATGAGTATACATTCGCGCGTAAATTAATTCGTCGTGATATCGTGGCAGAGTTTTGCTTACCGCAAAGAACGTGATAAATGGCTCGATGTAGATAAATTTTGGTTTACTCGACCTACTGTTTTAATTAAATGCAATGCGATTTCTCGCGATGCATTATCCTTTCACTCATTTGTAAACAGTTACGTTCTAGATTTTTAAAAATTAATTTTTCATCAGAGCAAATGCTTTCTATCGCTATATTTTATACAATTTGACGTATCAAATTGTTATCAAAAAATTATTTATTTTTGTAATTATATATTAATTTTCTACAGTACGTTGTAAAACTAAAATCTGCAATTCCGAACCGTGAACCGTGCATAACGACTTATTTCGCTTTCGTGCCTTATCCTTCGCGTGTCTGAGCGAACGTGTTTGAATTTATCACTATGTGAAAATTAATTCCACGAAAGTTCGTTACACATACAAATCTTATAAATCGTTGAGTATGCAAAGACTGCGAAATTGAGGAAAGATATGTCATCGAATAAATCCTCGTGTGTAAATCATTGAAGCGAAGATTATCGAGTAATATGTTGATTGCTATTCAGGGGTACAATTTCAAGTTCGTGAATCATTTCCTGCATTTATTATTACGTTGTTTGGCATTGAACGATCTTTTTTGTATTATATTTCCACGTGGAAGTAGCTTTTTACGGAATTGATAAGCATAGATAATATATATTTAATAATATATATTTTATAGAATCGATAAATATAGATAATATTGATATGATTATTGTTTCGGTTATCCAATTTATATATATTTTATATATTTCGGTTATCCAATTTATATATATTTAATAATATATATTTTATAGAATCGATAAATATAGATAATATTGATATGATTATTGTTTCGGTTATCCAATTTTGTTTATGAACTACGTGCATGGATTGCGTATGACATGCATTATTTCATTTCTATTTTCGTAAAATAAATAAGACACATTATTTCCTGTTCTTCTTAAGGTTAAAACTAAAGATTGGTTTCAAAGTAACCGCGATAAAAACGGAACGATAAAAGTGAGAACGATAATTTGCATTTTAATCAAATACATAATAATAATATTTAAAAAAAGAAGGCATCTTTTATATAAACAAAGACTTTGATTAATTCAATATATTTTAATTTACACAATTAAATATATTTTCCTATATTTGTATAAACAAATTAAGAAAATATTCGTGGAAAAAAACATCTGAGGTAATATAATTAAAATTTATCGAATAATTTACGTATAGTATAATTTACATGTGTTGTTATATATAATATTATATCCACATATGATTATATTTTTTTCTGAATCTTAAAATTACCGTGCGTTTCAACATCATAATATTTACAATCCAAATGTTCGTTCCAAGCAAACTTTAAAATTTGCGCAGGATATATTTATATATACATGCACGATTTATGAGAAAAATTGGTTTACCTTTTAACGGAACAGAACGAATGACATCACTTAACGATCGAATTATTAAACGGATGAGGGCACGATGAGACACCCTTTTAAGAGGAGCCGCAGAGGAGCGCCGTCAACATTATTCTCCTTAGTCGATTAATATGCGCTTCCGGACAGGATAAGAACCACCATCATTTCCCGAAAAGGGTGACTTTTGCCTTTTAATCGCAAAAGAATTTCGTATCGCAGATAATGTTTACGCGCACATATTACACACAATACGCTCGTAAAATATCATAATATCAGTACCCTTGCATTTAGCACGAAACTGTCGATTCTATTCTTCTCTTTAATATTTAGTCAAACACCTGTAAATGTATTTGAAGTCATCGATCTCACCTCGATCAAATCCACTGCTCGACTGCCGCTTCTTCCTCGCAACGGAAAGGATTTTTATTAGTCGTCAATAGCAACAAATCTCGCACTTTTGCAACAATTTTCAGAAAGAAAGGAAAAATATCTTCAAACAGTATCCTTTCAAATTTGAACGAGGACGACTTTATAATTCGACCGCATGCGATGAAGGACTGAGTCGAGAGAGGCGCGATAAACTTTCGAATGAGTAGCAGCGAGTGGGGGTGCAAATCGCTCCCTCGTGAGGCGAAGCGCGACGATCGATTTTTCGAAAATATACGATATACGGCTCTCGTCAATTCTGAGACGAACAGTCCGGCGTGACTCTCACGATGGTTGTTACACCACTGTCAAAGCAAACGCTGAGACAGTTTCGCTCAGCACGGCCAGTCAGCTAGACGCCCCCACTCTCAACACGTCACTGCCTCCCGCAGCGTGGTTTCACGACAATATCGCCAAGTTCTAACAGAGACTATTTCTCTCGTTCTCGTGCACTCCGACCTGCACAGAAATTTGCGATTGCACGAGGAACCCGACGTAGGCGCAGCACCAGAGCGAAGCTGTGTCTTATATTTAATTACATGATTACGTTTATTCAATTATGATTTTATCGCAGAATCTGCATGCATCTCGAGTAACATCGCTTTCCTGGAGCGCTTTACAGTTCATTAGAAATTCCCACGTTTCATTCCACATATTAAAATGGACTAGAGATTGTTTTCTAGTATACTATAACAGTTTCTTTTTTACTATAATTTATTACAGAAATTAAATCTTTTTTTTATGAGCTTTTACAATTAACATTTTTTATGCATGACTATTATAAATTAATTAAAGATTTTAAAAAATTATTATCTAAAGACGAAAAATATATTTGTATATTTAGAATAAACTTCAATTTTCCTCTTGATAAAAGGAGAATAATTTAGAAAGAATATCCTAGAAAAAAAAACTTAGAAAGCAATTTTTTTTTCCATAATCCTTTTCTATAATTATCAAGTTTATCACTATAAAGATATCTTTACATTATCGAAATGATCAAACTTTCGCTTTTATTTCAACTGGAACGTTGGATTTAATTCCGTTTCGTATTTTTATATGTTTGCAAAGATTGTAGATTTGATAGAAAGTGTATTTGAAAATACTTGCAGACCTTGAGAAACGCTGATCTGGTTATATTATTTTTCAGGAAATATTCATGAATAATATTGTTTGATTATTATTATTCATGTTCTGTGCAATTTTATCATTTTATAATTTTTTTTAAATGCTCTTTTTTATGCAATTCTTATATATATTTTATATAAATACAATTCTTATATCATTTTTAATATGAACTATTATTAATATTATATATATATATATATATATATATATATATATATATATATATATCGCTGTAATTTTACTTTTGATTTTTTATAAACACGTATATTTATTGCTATTAAACAAACATTATTTTAAAATTCGCTAAAATTCGCTTCGAATCTCTCTGAAAACGCGATTCACAATAATTATCACGATAATTATCGGCAAAATTGTGGGAAAAGATTTAATCGCGCGTCTATCTAACAGTTTATCATTTTCAATCGATTTTAGAACGCACTATCAGAGCGCACAATCATCTTTCATATCATATATTATATATTAACGGCTCAACATCACGGAAAAACATGTTAACGATAAGAATCGCTCATTACAAGGGCAATGACTCATGAAGCGGTAAACGTGAGGCTGATTGTCCAGCTGACGCGTAAATACCCGCACATGCTTCCGTCAGGTGCATATAACAATACGAGAATTCGTTCATTGAACGCCAGAATGGAACGTTAGGAAGAAAGATCGTAAAATGCTGCCAAATCTAAAAATAGTGTCAATCAAAGTGACAAAATTTATAAACAAGATAAATTTTCCTTCATGTTTATAGATTTATATTTCATTCATATCTAATTTATATCTAATTATATCTAATTATATCTATGAAAGAAGAATTTATATCTAGTTATATCTAATTATATCTATGAAAGAAGAAAGACTTTCAATAAAGAACATATTTTAGAGATGATTGTGCGCATTAAATTCAATAAATAATTCCAGTTCATAAAATAATAGGCAAACGTATAATTTCTATAAAATTCATTATATGTATTTGAAAAACGAAGAAAATCACATTTTATTGTCTTTTTTAAAATTTATAAATTATTAGAATAGATATATAAATTATTAGAATAATCGAGGATATGAAAATTATATATTATCATTCATTATTCATATGATCAGGTAATTAGCAAAAAACGGTACAAGGTGATCAAGTTAACGATTCATTGTAGAACGGCACGATGGCTCTTTTTTGTTTTAACTTTGAGTCATACATCATGAGACTGCAAGCGAGCCATTATTCCGTGTAATAATTACTTTACGGCATATCGGGTGTCTTTGTGCAAAATCAAATTTGCCGCAGCACTTTGTTGCCAGTTATACCGGCTTTCTACTCCAATTTATGCAATAATCAAAGTACATTTGCGTCGAGAATTATCAAAATACACAGTAAAAGTATCAACAAAAAGCCAAGGATTTTTATTTGTGTAAATTTTGTATTTTTTTTTTTTTCGCAATAACTTATAGAAGTTAAATCTCTTTTGTATTATGAGCTTCATAGTATAATTAATATTTTTTGTGCGCATATTATTATAAATTATTAATTAAAAATTAAAATGATCTAAAGATGAAGAATATATTTGTATGTTCAGAATAAATCCAACTTTATTCTTGATAAAAAAAGAATAACTTAGAAAGAATATCTAAAAAGAAAAGAGAAAGCAATTTCTTCTTCCATAATTCCTTTCTACAATTATCAAATGTTTATTACTGTAGAAATATTTTTACATTATTATTATATTCTGCATATTTTAATTATTTTTATTTGCATTAATTTTAAATGCAAATAAAAATCCTTGACCTCCCTTCGTTGGCATTATTCACGAAAACGATTTTATCATATGAATATTTTATCCTTCACGTGTGAAAAGATAATTCATTCTGTCTAAAAGTCTAATCTTCATTGTACGTCAAGAACATATTTAGGGATAAAAATAAATATTTCTTATAGAGATTTGAGGTGGTTGGAACCATACACACAGTTAGTTACGAAAAATTCACTTTTCAAAAATTACTTTTCGTCATGAGCCAAATAATGAACAAGTCGCTAAGTCTTTCTTACTCGAAAATGCTTCTCGCCGACATACGTCAGCGACCTGCCTTAATGCAACGTGCATATATAATAGCGATTAGTGCGTGCCGGAGTACAATGACTCGGTAAGCGGTGAACTGCACGCAACCAAAGCATGTGTCTTCTTGAACATACGTCGCGTGACAACGTATATATATATTTAAAAAAAATGCTCTCGTATTTATGACATAGTCAACATTGCAAATCCAGTGCCAATAAAAAACATATAATCGTAACACACTATAATCGTAATTTTAAGTTTTAAAGAAATTCATAAAGATACTTTAAGATTTTAGAGAGAATATTTGAAATCATAATAATTATAAAAAATATCTTATAAAAATATTATTTATCAACAATTGTGCTTCTATAATCTTTTTATCTCTGATATTGTATTATCACGAACAGTGTCATTTATTGCGATAATACTTTACTCGTTAAAAAACATCATCAATTGCACGAAATATATATAATTTACGTTTATAAAAGAAAGATTCCGCATAATGTTACAACATAATGTTTGTAGAAAATTATTTTTAGGTGACAGCTTATGTAATCGACATTATTATATATTAGAAGGACAGAAAGAATTTATTCACATGAATTAACTTCGCGCTAGTTGAAATAACATCTTTTCGCATTCAAGCCTATATTATAACTAAAGTACTGTATATATTATTCGCATTGTGTTTCATTTGTATTGTTTGTCTGATGCATCGATAACTGATTATTGATTTATTGTGCATTGCACGTTTCTAGTATCATTCTCTGAACACATTTGAAAAATAACGCCGTGTGAGATATTAATTAACAAACATTTAGTATTTAATTAATTATAAATATAAAATTATTAATTTTACAATTTAAAATTATCTTCCTTAATAAATAGATATTTTAATATTGATTAAAACTATATTTTTTTACTTTTCAGCGCTTGTCAATTATCCAGTTAATAAAAATATTTATTCGAAGCAAGTGATTTTTTTAAATATATATCGAAAGGATATTTAACTTACTCCTCACTTGACAACTTACCTCTTGTTGCTTAATGACCATTGCTTGAAACAAGATCTATGGTGAAGTCGGTAAATATTATTTTCAGGAGGTAAGTTACTAGATATATAGCAGAAATCTCTCTTACCTTAGCGAAAAGGAAGTAACGTCAATTGGTATTTTCCAACGATTGGTAACTAGGATTCATCAATTTTAAGAATATAAGTATATTTTCTGTGCAGGTAATATATTTACATTGATTATCGTTTGTAAAATGTATTGTTATGCGAGTATAATCACAGTTTTGATCATTTGATCGATTAGATATAAATGCAAGAATGAACATTCGCACATTTATAGCGATACTGGTAGATGTCACGTCGAATGATTTTTTTGGGTGTGTGACTTCTCCGTTTTTATCTTCTTTTTTAAGACTTTCATGTGCTTCATACCATTCAAATGTGCTTGCCATTGATTCTCTTCGACAAATATTTTTTCGCAGATCTGGAACAGTATGTAAAAATTTTTAATTCTACGTCAGAAACGTCAGAAACATATTCAACATTTCATTAAAAAAAATACAAGATATTAATAGTATTTGAGTGTCAGTATTTCGTTCTACATGCCTAAAATTTAATATAAATTACGATTATTAAATTTCTACTTTATTTGCGCGACGTAATTTTGCAGGATATAGAATAAAATAATATTCTCAAAAGTCGATTTTATGAAAACATCAAAAAGTAAAGTAATTATATATGTAATTATTTTTATTACGATTTCAATTGAATGTATCGGAAAATAAATTGTTGCGGTCATTATTACCTCGCAATAGTGATATGTATTCGTACTGCTGTCAGTAGTTTTCTGGTTCTTGAAATTTTCGTTCAATGGTCGTTGTTCAGGTTTTTCACCGCGCATTATTGCGGAAATGATCGCTGTTGCGGGTTCTAGGATGCAGCTGTCCCATTTCGTCACGTCAGTGCAGTCTAAAGAATAAATAGGAGGAACCTCGAAAAAAAAACCAAAAAGAATCGTATGATTTACTTTCCTGAAATTTAATTACTTATGTGTTTCGCGAAAAGAATGGTTTACAGTAAGGAGATGAATTAAATTATTTCAGGCAATTTATCATCTACAGCGCGAACACATATATCGTTAATGAATGAAGCAAGTGAATTACCTGTCGATCACCACGTCGAATTAGTCTGTTCATCACCCATTTATTTTGCTTCCTGGAATATCTTCTAGTGACGAGTTTTAAATCATCGACCCCTTGCTGCTGTAATTTTTTTCCCTGCATAAATTTAAACAAATATCAATTGTATACGATTTCTTTCTATTTTTATCTTCTTATTTTTACATCATACAATAATTTAAAAATTATATGTAAAATACGTCACACACATAATAGAATTCCAACTTTCTATTTAATATGTATTATTTGGTATAAGAAAGCAATAAAATGAATTAAACATGTTTCATTTAAAGTATATGCTTCATAAAAATATTTTAATAATTCTAAATATTTAAATAAACATTTAAATATAATATAAATATTTTCTAACACACAATACGTATCATTTACACCCATTTCTATGAAATATCTTTTATATTTATAAATAATATATATATAATATAAAATTTTAAAATGATATAAAATATATTTTGAAGCTATAAAATTTAATTTATAATTTAAAGATAAATTAATAATAATTATTATAAAATATATATTTATCAATGCGCACATTCAAAATAATAATTTATTTATATCTTTTGCATTCGTTCGCTCTTCCTTTTCGCGAATATCTTTTTTTCCTCGCAAATAGCACCCAATAATATTTGACGACATTAAAACCGAAGAAAAGCTCATAAAAAATCGAGACGTACATTCGAATGCGATTCTGCAACGACAGGAATAAAAAGGATCAGAAACATCGTGAAGAGCGATACGACTGCAGAGCTGGACTGTGTCGCGAATCGTGTGATGCACCTTAATAGCGCAGAAAAAGAGCCGGGGAGATCCCGGCTGAGGCAGCTGCTGAGGAACGATCGTATGGACGTATCATCCCATCGAGCCATCTGCCACGTTGTCGACTCACCTTCTCGCTCGCGCGCTCCTCTTCGGACAATATGAGATAAGGATGAAACTCCTTGAAGCCGATAGTCTGAAAGATGCCTTTCGTGTAATCAGGTAACCTGGAATGTAAACATTCTCTTTTAGATCGCGTCCACCGGCTCAACCTTCCCTGTCAACGGGGGGTTCACGCTCTCTTCCTACCCCATTCTCTCATTCATTTCGTTTTATCGTCCAAGCGCTGCTAATCCTAATCGATTACCCTCCTCTGACCTCCAACTGAGATACTGTACCTGGTATACACCACATACAATTGGAGAGATTGCGCACAACGTATTTGTTGGGTTTTAAATGCGGATAGCTTTTTAAGCTTAGATCGTACTTTAAGTCTTCGTTTAATACGAATATTTACGATTTATCTTGAAACATTTTCAATTTACATTTTTTTATGAGAGTAAAAAAAAAAATATAAAAAGAGAAATATAAATTTTTCTAATATCTATGAATAATTTGTCACTATTTTTTACTATTTAAGACAACATTTTTTACTATTTAAGACAACATTTTAAAATGAAAGAGGTATTGGAGTCATCTAATATCAATGAGATTAATTAGCAAACAATGTAATCTGTAAATCTGTGTAACAAACTAAAATTAAAATTGCTAAATTATTGTCATGTATAATTACACATTGAATGATGCTTTATGATTTTTTTCTTAGGATGTAATAGAACGTATTAGAATGTATTAGGAATTTTAATTATGCGTGTATTTAAAAAATGTTAACGTATTTACTGATTAATAAGCAATATATAAGACTGATTAAAGATTAAAATTAATTGCAATAGTCGCTGTCAAAACCAGATAAACTATATATCGCACAGATATAATATTACATAAAGAGAATTTCAGACTTCTTAGGAGTTCGATAGCCATAATTACATAACGCTCAGGGCAAAGGAAGTGCAAAGATAACACTGATAATTATTTTTATTTATGACTACAGCCATCATATTGCAACATTGCAACATTGTGTAATATGAGATGTAATATCGTCTGTGACAAAATGTATTAGCTTGTTGCTTACATTGCTACTGTGTGGCAATCGAATTAAAGTTCAATTATAAATTTAGCAAATATATCGTTATCTCGAGTACAATTCGTTAATGTATAAAACAGCCGTCGAAGCAAGATGTACAAATAAGCTATATAAAGCGTTCCAGGGCCACCATTGAATGGACAAAATAATAATGAACTAACGTAAATATCTAATTTTTATCTTCTTTATGCATGTTATTATGAATCACATTAGTACAAAATATTTTATGTCGCAAATTTCTTTGAGATACCTTGATATTATTTGCTCTTTCTTTATATATATATATATATATATATATATATATATATATAAAATTATTATCAGATATATTATATATACATAATTATTATCAGATACTGATGGATAAATCAGATACTTCTTTGACACATAGATCAAATACTTTTTCTTCAGATTCTAAAATACTGTTCAGATTCTAAAAAAACTATTTCGATCTTGAAAGAAACCACTCCCTCACCATTCAACCAGAAATAATTCTTTAACGGAATTCGATGCCTGTCAATCAATGTTACTTTACTTTGAAAAGCATTATTGTGTCGCAGGGTTATGTGTATGTGTGTGTGTATATATATGTAGATGATATATAACGGAATAGATTTCAAGAGATTCAATTTTGACAGCAAACTCTACAACAGCCGCGTATTTTTTAATCGGCTAAGTCAATCGATTTACGATTACGATTTCGAATGTAATCCTAGGATCAACGATACACCTTCATTTTGCCCGTGAAATCTTATCGTGCTCGTCCGATTAGCAATCGTATGAGTGTTGCTCGGTGTAACGTCGGCTTACACAATGCGACAGGAAAAAGTCGGCGACGCTATCGTCAATTCGCACACGTGTCAATGCCAAATGCATGCTGGTGTCGAGAAATTAGATTCACGAAACCTTGCGCAGCGCGCACCGCAGACTTTTTGCAGGCCGGCATTTTAGTTCTTAAACTTTAAAATCGATTCCGCAATCGGTGCCGTGAATAAAATCGCTCGGATAAATGGAATCGAGAGATAATTTTGACTTCTCTAATCTTAAATAACATTTGCACCTGATTTTTTTGTTGACACAATATCCATGGCTTCTGCAATTTTCCTGTATTTTCTCACATATTTTGTATAATCAACATCGAACATATATATTTGTCTTTTGATAATAAATTTAAAATTTGTTGTGACTTGTTTTAACGGTTGAACTCGTTTTCGTTATTACATAAGTAAAAAAGTACTCGTAAGAAATAAGAAAGTGATTCTATAATAAGATTATACAGTGAAAATATAAGGATATAAAAGATACAAAATAAAATTTAGCAGTTATGTATAATTTTGAATCAGGCTCAACGCTGTTGTTCCTAATTATTTCTTTCGTTTCTTATTATTAAACGCTCCTTCTTTGCACGCGATATGTCGACACATACAAATGCGTATCAATAGGAGAAAGTAGGGCTATTCATTTTAGATTAACTATTTATAAAATCTCGAGAAGTAACTCGTTTTCATATTCTTAAGTAACTTCAACATTTTTATTCGAAACAAGTACGATAATGATAATAATAAAGTACTAATAATAGTCACACGATGATGTTTAACGATAGAGACTATGAGCCGTAGTCATGGTAGCAGCAATGATAGCACTTGTACGCTAGTAATGAAGTGTTAGAGTTTGTAATTAAGATAACGACAGAGTGTCAGCAATCAGTGTCGCGTTCCGTAACTACACTACAATATTTTTACAACTTGTTGCCAGGCAGCTTATATATACTGCACGCGTACAATATTACATTTCCTCTATCACAAAATATAGAAGTGCCACGAGAGATAATTCGCCGCTATTGCCAGGATTTATGGTCTTCGTGAAACGGAAGCACGCTATCTTTTTCTCTTCAGCTTATATTTTTCTTATTCGATATCTATCGCGGCTAAAAATGGCCAAATTTAAATGACGAACGTGAAAAATTTAGCAAGAAAAAATAAAAAAGCTCGTAATTAATCCCTTCCATTAACATACTGATGAAAGTTTGAGATACTATAAAAATCTGTCAAGATAAACTTTCACCGGTAAACTTTCAAAGATTTTTAATTGAGTTCACTCGATGACAAGTAAAATTCATTTAATTATGCAATTTTCTCTCTCTCTCTCTTCAATTCTGAACATTATTTCACAATTTTTTTATTCCCTGTAATAATAATAATTCTATATTCCCTTAGAATTATTTTTAAAATATATTTACACTTCATAATTCATCATTTTCACACTTTATTATTTTTAAAATATATTTACACTTTATATCTTCTTTTTAAAAAATATAGTTTTCTTGGCGCGCTTTTACGTACATAAATCAATATTTTTAAAAAAATATTAATAATGCTTTAATCTACATTCTTTTTCAAGAGAACTTTTTAATTCTCAATCAATTTTAATCTTCCTCCTTCAAATTTTTTTAGATATAGGCGACAAATCTATAAATGGTATCGCAAACCTCGACCGGAGGTGATCGATAATAAAACGAGGGGTTCCGCTTGTCAGTGATGTATTCAACAATCCTCCAATCTTTCAATCCAAGGCCGATCGATGTACATCGATGTCGCCGGCTCGCCACGGCGGTCACGATAATAAGATTATGTATGCTACATTGCGCACGATTGCGCCATTAACGGCATCGTTGCAGGTTAATAGAGCGTAATACAATAGCGCCGTATTACTTTCTGACGCATGATTGTCGCGATAATCGTCCATCGCCATTATGATAGCTTCTTTCGACATGGTTACAATCGATCATCCACTCGAACGAGAAACATGCTCATCTCGCTTGCAAAAGCACCGATATTAGCATCGAGAGATCAAACATACTAATCTTTGATCGTTGCTTGTGATTCATCGATCAAATGTATCTTCTTTTATGCGGAATTATAATCATGCATCTATGATAATTTTATGCGCGGTAATTGTAATTGCAATTGTTCGAAGTATCATGGGTAATCGAGTATCATGGAAAATACAGATTTTTAATGAAGGTATTGATGTGAAAGGTATTGATGAAGAAAGATATATATCTCTGAAAGCAAACTCTGTTTTAAAGATCTATTTACATAATATGCGATAAGTAGTTACTGTGAGCAATTACATGATTGATACGATAATCATTTGCCACATATTACAAAAAGTCCAGTGTCATTTTTATCTCAATATTATTTATACTGTCAAGAGTATTGCAATATGCAAACGAATAAATATAAAAAAAATATTTCAACTTACATAAACTTGATTTGATTATTATTCGCGATTTATCGAATATTTAATAATGAAGAGATATGTATCTGCTAAATGTAGGCTACTATGAATAAAAATTTATAATGATAAAATACTGAGCAATCATATAAAGAACTATATATTTTATACAGGAGAAAATATTTCTTAATTTTATAGACAAGATAAATCGAAATTCCTTTATTAAGGAATGTAGAACAGAATATATATATATATATTAAAATTTTCAATATCTATGGAATGTCTGTGAATAAAATGAAAAATGTTTAAGTTTGATATTTGGATTATAGACTTCTTTTATATTTTAATTTAATCGTCATCTATTAATAATCGATTGTCACGAGAAGGATTATATAAGATCGACAAGCTAATATTAAAGATTCAAAAAAAACTTGAAAGCAATTACAAATCAATCAATTATACATCTATCTATCTTCGTTACAAGTCAATAGTTTATCTATTTATATTTATCAATTTTGTCTCTATTATTTTATCGATAATTTTAAATTGAAATTTTACAATATAACCTAAATATATGATAAGACTTTTTACTTTACTTTACGATATCATGTCAACAATTTTATTTCATGTAATTTTGGCATTATATTGCAGTAAACATCGATATCTTGTGTGTGTAGATTTTGTGGCATTTCTTCGTATATAATTCTCTATATAATCTTGTATAAATATAAAAATCTCATCCATTTTTTAAAATTTTTTATCAATCATAATTTTTATATTAAAATA